CACTGCCCGCCCGGCCCCTATCTTTAATCTTAAGTAAAGTGAAGTCAAAAACCATAGGAAGAGCCCAACCTCTTTGTTTGAAGCTTTGCTTCCAAAAAAACAAGAAATAGACTTGCTACTACTATAGTTATAGTATAGGAAAAAGCTTCTCTTTGATAGCGGTCATAGGGGGGTTCAGAAAGAATCTGATCGTAGATAGAGACTAAAACCGGGGGTAGGGGCGGATGTAGCCAAGTGGATCAAGGCAGTGGATTGTGAATCCACCACGCGCGGGTTCAATCCCCGTCGTTCGCCCATCAATAAATGGACCATTTGTTACGGAGACAGAAGACAAACCTAGAAAGAATTTTTTCTTCAAGTCATCTCGAGGCTTTCAAACGCATCCAAGCAATTGGTACCCGATTGAAACATAGAAAGCATAGATTCGCGTCGCCTACTTGCTGAAAGCACAAATGGAATGGCTGATCATGAATTCTATGAAGTTTTTAAGACCTCGCTAATCAGCCTTACACTTTTGTTTTAGTTCATAATGAATGAAATGAACCCCATACCTACGAAGGATGGGAAGAGCCCCGGAGCCGAGAAAATGATCAAGACTTGGGAGGAACAAGCGGACTTAGCACGATCATACTTGAAGAGGGCCCACAGAAGAATGAAGAAATGGGCCGACACAAAGAGGCGTCCAAGAGAGTTCTCCCAAGGGTCGATGTAATTGAGGTGAAGCTATTGCCCCAACAATTCAAGACCTTTCGAAGCTTGCACAAGGGTGGTCTACGATCAGGACTTATGAGGGTCCGTTCCCGGTGATCAAAAAGATAGGCAACGTGGTATACCGGGTCGAGCTACCTCCAACCCTTAAAATTCATCCAGTCTTCCACGTGAGCATGTTGAAGCCTTACAAAGGGGACGTGGAAGATCCAAGCCGTGGGCTATCACAAAGGGCACCGCCGCTCACAACCAAGTCTTTCGACAAGGAAGTGGACGAGGGTCGATGTAATTGAGAAGAAGCGGTACTTAAGAAAGTGGAATATTACCCCGCGTCTGAAGCATCATGGGAATTCGAGGAGGACTTATGGCAATTCCGAGATATCCTCGAAAGTTACGAGGCGACGAGGACGGCCGCCACAATAGGTGGGGGAGAATGTAACACCCCGCACCACCAGACCCGTCCAGACCCGAGTAGACCCGCATGCACGCAAGGAGACCGCGCGCACACGAGGCCTGCTCGTCCTTTTGATGTCCTAGGCCGCCCCAAGCCTAGGTCTTGTACATAGATGCCTTAAGTAAGGCCTAGTTTTGTCTGGAGGTTTCTAGAAGACTCAAGAGGCATGTAGATACTTGTAGTAGGGACTAGAAGAGCCTAGAACCTTGTAGAGCTTTGTAGATAGGGCAAGAATCATGTAGAAGGTTCTAGGACATGTGTGTAAGAAGTAGGATTTTGTGGAAGGGTCTAGAAGGCTCAAGACCCTTGT